ACCATGGTGTGTGTGACCAGTATCCATGCAATGCATATAAATTAATCAATTAAGTTCAAAATATCTATTTGTTTTAAGGAATTGAAATTTTTCAATATTTTATCATTTAATTAAAGTAAATTTTTGGTATTATTAGAATTTATTTTATAGTTTAACATGCAAAATTCTAATAAATTATTGTTTTTTCATAAAATTTAAATTTTAAATAAAGATTAATTGTAATTGTGAGAATGAATTAAAACCGTCAAAAATTAAAAATTTAAATAATTTTGCTAATCAAATATTGATTAAAACTTAATTATTAAAGTTTATTTTAATATTTATGCTAGTCAATTGACCACAATGTATGCGACCAGTATCTATGCAATGCACACAAATTAATCAATTAAGTTCAGAATAACCATTTTTTTTTTTTTAATGAATTGATATTTTAAATAATTTAACATTTAATCAAAATTAGTTTTTGATATTGCTGGAATTTATTTTGTAGAATGATATGCAAAATTCTAGTAAATTAATGAATTTTCATAAAATTTAAATTTTAAATTACAAAATTAAAATTAATTATAGTTGTGAGAATAAATTAAAGCCGTCATTAATTAAAAATTTAATTAATTTTGCTAATAAAAAATTGATTAAAGCTTAATTATTAAAGTTTATTTTATTATTTATGTTGCCAATTGACCACACCATAAGTGACCAGTACCCATGCAACGCTTATAAATTAATCAATTAAGCTCAAAATATCTAACTTTCTTTACGAATTGATATTTTTTAATAGTTTTAACATTTTAATTAAATTGAAATTTGACAACACCGGCATTTATTTCATAGTTTAATATGCAAAAACTTTTACAAATTGCACAATTTTCTTTAATTATGGTATTTAAATTTGGAAAATAAATTAATTGCAATTGTAAGAATGAAATAAAACCGTGACAAACAAAGAATTTAATTAATTTTGCTAATAAAATATTGATTAAAAGTTATTTTTTAAAGTTTTTTTTAATATTTTATGCTGACCAATTGACCACACCGTGATTAACCAGTACCTATGCAACGCTAATAAATTAATCAATCAAGTTCAAATTATCTAATTATTTTAATGATTTGATTTTTTTTTTAATATTTTAACATTTAAATAAAATGAGTTTTTGATATTGCTAGAATTTATTTTGTAGATTAATATGCAAAATTCTAATAAATTAATGAATTTTCACAAAATCTAACTTTCATATTTGAAACAAAAATTTATTATAATTGTGAGAATGAATTAAAACCGTCACTAATTTAAAATTGAATTCGTTTTGCTATTCAAATATTGATTAAAACTTAATTATAAAAGTTTTTTTAAATATTTATGCTGGTCAAATGACCACAATGTATGCGACCAGTACCTATGCAATGCACACAAATTAATCAATTAAGTTCAAAATATCCATTTTATTTTAATTAATTGATGATTTTCGATATTTTAACATTTAATTAAAATCAAAATTGATAAAACTAGTAATTATTTCCTCGTTTAATATACAAAAACTGTTGCAAATTATAAAATTTTGACCAAAATTAATTTTTAGATTTGAAATAATGCTTAAGCCTAAGCCTAAGTATACCCTAAGCCTAAGCCTAAGCATTATTTCATTATTTAAGATGTCAAATGACAACAATGTATGTGACCAGTTCCTGCACTATGCGTATATAATAATCAATTTTTTTTTATTAAATGATATTTTTTTTAATACTTTAACATCCTTTGAAATTAAATTTTGATAATAGTAGGACTTCTTATCTAGTTTAGTATGCAAATACCCGTACAAATTATGGGATTTTTATAAATGTATTATTTAAATTTGAAATATAAATTAATTTCAATTGTAAGAATGAATTAAAATCGTGAAAAATTAAAAATTTAATTAATTTTGCTAATAAAATATTGATTAAAACTTAATTTCTAAAGTTTATTTTATTATTTTTGCTGGTCAAATGACCATGGTGTGTGTGACCAGTATCCATGCAATGCATATAAATTAATCAATTAAGTTCAAAATATCTATTTGTTTTAAGGAGTTGAAATTTTTCAATATTTTACCATTTAATTAAAATAAATTTATGGTATTATTAGAATTTTTTTTATAGTTTAACATGCAAAATTCTAATAAATTATTGTTTTTTCATAAAATTTCCTATTTCCTTTAAGGGTTAGACGGTTGTACTCTAGAGCCTATAATTCAAAAGGTGGAGAAATTGAAAATGGTGCTAAAATATTTCAGTTTTGCAACCACATACCTGAAGTTTATGACGGGGTATCAGAAATTGAGTGCGCTTTTTTGTTTTTTTCTCAAAACAATTTTTTTTGAAAAACTGAGGGACTCTACCAATTATTATTAGGTTCCTTGTATAACCGTACACTTGATAGCATTCTGTCATTCTGTCCGCGTCCCGCGTTGGGTTAACTGATGAGCGTCTTCTAATCCTGCAATATTTTCATTTTCACTGATGGAAAGACCAGTAAACTTGACAATAGTATTGGTGTCAACACTATCAGCCAGCCTTTGTCTTTGCCACTTCAATTTTTCCTTCTTCCATACCTTGCAAGTTTCTTTTCAAGGATAGCTTCCTCTCTGTACAGATTCATTATTCTTTCTTCATACGCTGTTAGGTACTTTTCATCCCAATGAAACTTGTTTAACTCATCATATGCTTAATTTATGATTAATACTTCTCCTGCTATCTTTTTTGAGTTTTTATCTGTTATTTCTTCTGCATACTTAAAGAAAGAAACACCAGCGTTCTACTATGCTTGTTAATTAGTCTACTTTACTTTTAGGAAATTTAGATAGTTCAATGAACACGAATTGAAAATCTTGTAAATCATGCTCACTAGTTTCATCGTCTCTTATGGTATAGCTAGATATATAATTGACTCACTCATCGGGAAATAAAGTGCAGTTTGATATTATAATAAAGAAAATCTTTTGTAAATCCACCAGATAGCCTTGAGAAGCTTTGGCAGTGTAATACTGAGCACATTTTTCAAAGTCCTTGTCACGAGTAAGCTCCATTTCAACCACAAACTTATTACCAACAGAATCGTTGAGAGAACATCAACCATGCTTTGTTTCTCAGAAGCAAATTCAGAATTCATAATGACGCTGATGAATTCTATTTTTTGCATAGTATTAACTTCAGTATACCCTAAAACTTCGCTCAAAAATGGGTAAGAATATTCTTACTTCTTTCGTGCCAAAGATCTTTTTGAAAGTCAGGTCCAGTTTTGGTAAGGAATTTAGAAAAAGCCATAAGAAATTAACTTAATAGTAATACACTATTTTTTGCAAATATTCAACTATATTTTTTAACTTATAATTTTAAGCTTCCTTATAACATTTAAAGTGTAGATGCAAAATATAATTCATCGAAATTTCGAAAAAAGTATAGATAATTGGCTTGAGACGCATTTAACAGCCTTACATTACCATTTTATAGCTCTATAGATCTTAGAAACTCTCTTACAAAATTGCCCCCCAGTAGATGCCAATTTTCTACTGTCCTCTCTTGCACAGTATAAAAACAGCATTTCTTCTGATGCTTTGCTACCTTAATGTATAATATCAAGCTGTGTTACGACTAAAAGCTGTACAACTTGATAAACCTTGCCAATCCTTTATCATGAGATTGAAGTTGTTTATTTATTCTCAATCTGTACAGATTAAGCGTATAACAGGGATGACTTCGTATTTTTTACCTTTTGCACTATTTACACCTCATGCCTTTATAAATCTTACCTAGATTTCAGATTTTTACCTCTACAAATCGAAACGCAGCGGCAATTTACAGGATTAGAGAGTGAACAATTTCTATATGGAATTCTTTTGCCTTTAATCTGCTGCTAATTTTGGATATCTCATAAACATAAGGGTAACGTAGAACATTGTTCTAACCACTTAGCATAACTTTGCCACTGCTTAGCTACGGCGGCTCCTCTTTTTTATCTTCGAGCATTGCACTTGGCATAATGCTGTCCTTAGTAGAAATCAGACTATCATATTAAATCTTCGTGAGCGTAATTCTTTTAAAAGACACGCTATAGACTAGTTCCTTTATACTATGCCTTTCCTCTTTCTCCTGAAGTCAAAATCCATAACTTAACTTTAGAAACTTCAAAATAAGATGCGATCTAATACCAGGCAATTATTTCATTACATAAAACCTAATCTGCATTATTTCATCACTTATATCTTCAGCTTTAACGATTCTCCTTGTTGGCAGAGGCTTGAGTAACATAATCCATTATGGTGCAGAGCACAACTTCACCGCTAAGCTATTAGTTACTATATTCATAGTTTTAGCCATTTCTCTCAGTGCATTTATTAGATTGTATTTCATTGGGATTGGCAGTGAGAAAGTTATTGCAAAAATAGATGTGACTTATATGGTAATATTACTGATTTGCAACCAAGTTTCTTTGAGAATACAAGTGTTCAAGATGTCATCTCAGCTCAGCACTGTTACTGGTACCTCTGGGCTGCTGCTACTGTAATTAATAATACCAATGCTACCTACTTATTGTCATGACGTCACTTGGGAAGAAAGTGCGCAATTGTGCATGTTTTGCCCAGAATAAGCTAAGTGAGCTTGCATCACTCTTTGACGCTCCAGCTCTTGCCTCTCTTGCTGCTCTTGCAATTACCAAGCGCTGCGCCTGTTGCAGTGCCATTACCCATCCCTGCCACATGCTCCTCCATCGATGACTCTCCTGCTGCACCCTTGCCGACATCTCCTACCTCTGAAGGGCAACGCTCTACCCAGCTGAATATTGCTTGTGCAAAACGTGTACAGTCTTTTTTGCAAGCTGTGTTTATTGAATATGGAGAAAATAAGCAATTTTTTGTCTTTTTCTGAAATATCTCCAAATTATTTCAATATTCCAGAAAAGGAGAAAGGAACTTTCTTTGAGGGTTGCTTGAATGATGATTGTGCAGAGGAAGGAGTGAATCAAAGGTAATATAATAACTCGAAAATCGATACTTGATACATACGGTGCAGATGTAGTGTGTTATTGGACAGCAGACTGAAAGCTTGGAGTTTATACAGTCAACTCTGAAAACATATCAAAATTGGCAAGTGCCTCGTTACAAAACTTTTCAATGCCAGCAAGTTTATTTCTAATTCATGGAAAGGTATCCAGCTGAGACATGGATCAATAGATACTGCCTAAACTATATAAAGTTATAGCAACGAATAACTTATTACAATTTGAATACTGTGAAGCTTTGGGTGCAGTAGAAGGATTTTTTTGGAAAGACTTTTGTGACAATCACTTGGAATTAGCAACAAACAACAAGTGAATATGGAGATAAAGTAAGCAGCGAGGCAAAGTTTGACATATGTGTTGAATACTACTTTGCGGTTATTTGCTTTGCACCTTCTCTGCCATACATTACTGAACAAATATATCACCAACTATAGCTGTAATTCTGTGCACAGTCGAATTGGCCGAATAAGGAAGGAGGAGCTTATCTGTGATAAGCATTCTGAAGAAATGGGAGATATTCATGTAGATAGATATTAAACGAGGATAAGTTGAATCAGTCGGCGCAGAATGATTTACAGACAGTCCGCAATGCTGAAATGATAGAATGGAGTGAAAACGCACAAGAGGACTTATAACTGATAATGGGAAGTTTATTGTTGGTAGGATTTCCTCATGTAACGACATCATGTGGTCGATTTGAGGGTATGGGTGAGTATACTCCTCATACTGTTTCAGGAGGTGAACCAGCAGCGATGGTAGTTGTTGATGTGTGCGTTAGACTTCTTCCTGGTGTGGTAAATAATTCCGGTAGTATTCATTTGTTTCTGCATTAGAATGATTTTCATTACTATTCTTGCTAGCATCTGAAGTTATTGATTTCATAATTATTTGTTCTATTTTTATTTTTTCTACTAGGTTTAGTTCTTTTGATTTTATTATTTCTCTTTTCAACGTTGGAAGACTTATAGACATACCTGCCTTAAGTGAATTTTTCGGTACTGCTATTTTAGCTTTCTTCACTCTACCCTTCTATGCTCCAACTTTGATGCCTCTCTCTTTGCTAGTTTTGACACATTCTCCTCTATCTTTTTTAGTAGCTGTATTCAAGGATGGCTTTGTTTTTCTGTAAATTCATTAGATTCCTCTTTCTTCATACGCTATTTTATCTTCTTCATTCCAACGGAACTCATCTAACCCATCGTATGCTAGCTTTTACATCTGTTTCAGTGGTATCCTCTGCATTCTTAAAAAAGAAGCGTCAATGCTCTACTATATTTATTAATTGCTCTACTTTACTCCTAGACAATTTAGGTAGTTCAATAAAAATAAATTGAAAATCTTTCAAGTAATAGCCATTGGTTTTTGTATCATGTATATTATGAGTAGATACACAATCAACCTTTTTAGAGAGTAAGTTACAATTGGAAATTACAATAAAGAAAACTTTCTTTAAATCAATGTCTAATTGAGCAAGCCTTAACCGATTTATCTAATTGCCTTAGTAAGCCTTAGCAGCACAAAGTTGAACACGTTTCTTAAAGTCTTTGTTTATAGCGAGCTGCACTTCAATTACACACCTGGTTCCAGTGGCATCCTTGCGAAAACATCAACTATGCTTTGTTTGTCAGAGGTAATTTCAGGATCGATTATAGCGCTTAAGAATTCTACCGCTTGTATAGCATTTATTTCAGTGAATCCTAAAATATCATTGAGAAAGCGAATAAGAATCTTCTTATTCTTTTCAGTGCCAAAGATTTTCTTAAATATTAGGTCAAATTTCAGATCAGGAAATTTTGATAAAGCCATGATACAATAACCTTTAAAACTTTAATATTATATATTACGATACAAAATTTATCAAAAATTTTTTAATATAGTAAAATCGGCATATATATTAACCTGTAGAATGTAGAATGAGACCATTTAATTGAGCAACCAATACTTGATTTCTGGTTAATGGGAGATTTACCAGTTTCTGCAGTAGATTTTATAGCTTGAAATAAATTACTACTCCCTATCTCATAGTTCTGGATTTTCCTTTTTTTGCATCGTTAAAACAGAGATTTAAATTAGCATTAAAGCCAAAAAAGTCAGGAGTATAAACAGCACCATACTCTTTAGCTACTTCCTGTTTACTGTTAATCAGATATGGAAATGTAAACTTATTTTCCTCGGCAAAATTAATCATATTTTCAAAGGAATCTTCTGGGTATTCATTTACATTCATTTGGCATTATTGTATTATTGTATTCACCTGATAATCCTTTTTTAACAAATCAATATCACTTACCGAGTTACTAATAACTGATTGTGCGTAAGGACAGTGGTTGCATATAAAGCTTACAATAAAACCATTTTTTCCACAACAATCACTTAATGTATAGTATTTGTTGTCCACCCCAGAAGAGTGAAATTCTTTGCAGTGAAGTCAGAATCTACCTTAGGACTATTCGAGTAACCGTAGCTTAGGGAATATTACAACTTATAATTTGTGATTTTACTTAAATGTCAAACAGTTCTTATGTATAATATTTGCGTCTCCTTTTTTGGTATTACAATTAAAACTTATGTTCATAACTTTTGAAGCAATAGACGGCTCTGGTAAAACAGTACAGTCTGAGTTGCTTGCAAATTATTTTAAGCAAATTCACGATGAAAACAATATGGTATTGACTCGAGAACCAAGCGGCACTGACTTTGCACAAAAGGTAAGAGGACAGCATCGATCCCGTCTCCGAACTCTTGCTACTCATTTCAATGAGATATGAGCATGTTGAAAAAGTAATACTGCCAGCTCTAAAAAAAGGAAAGATAGTGAGTATTGGTGACCGGTTTATCGATTCAATTACTGTATATCAAGGGTACGGACTTGGTGTTGACCTAGAGCTAATGCGAGACCTACACGAGTTAGTAAAAATTAAATACCCAGATAGCACATTTATCCTAGATATTGATATTCAAATTGGGCTGAGCAGATCAAATCATAGAAACAAATATGAAGAGATGAACATTAGTCTAAGGTTCGAAAAGGATTTCAAGAAATAGCTATAAAGGAGCCTGATAGGTATAGTATTATAAATGAAATTGAAGCTAAGGATAACAATCAAGTTCATGTTGAAATTGTCAACAAAGTCACTGCAACAAGGCCGGTTTTGCTAAGAGTAAGGCCAGCTTCAACACCGTTTGTAGAAAATAACCATCTGTTTACACTTAAGTCATTCTCCACACTTAAACCTCCCCTAATTTGCCTTTTCTTTTTTACCTTTTTCAAATAATATCACGATATCTACCCATCGCATCTATTTCACACCTATTTTTCTTACCTCTGATCAAATCCATCAGAACACACACTTACACCAACGTTAACGAACATTTCAGATTCAGAAATACTAAAAAAGGCACATTAGCTTCACCTGCAACTGCACAAGCAAGCATACTTCTACCGAAATCCTTTCGGTATTTCCCCGCCTAACACTTGAAATTCTTATCTCTGCTCTAGAAAGTGAACGATTTCTACTAACTCTTCTTCTGCTTCATCAATCCCAGCAACATTATCTAATGTCGCTTTTCTCCACTAGTCATGAGCGTAGCTTTTGATTTGCCAAAGTTTATAGTTCTGTTACCTCCTTTTTGTGTTACCTGTTTGCGTTTCTTTTAAAAGGAACAGCAACGAGCCAATAAAGATAAATGTTGGAATCTATTGGATAAGATAAGTAATCTACCAATTCACTTTTCTGTGATGACAATGTACGTGACCAGTTCCCGCACTATGCATATAAAATATTAAATTAGTTTCTAATTCTCTATTTTTTTAATATGAATTGCTATTTTTTTAATAGTTTTTACACTTAATTAAATTAAAATTTGATAGTCAATCTTACTTTTCTTGCTTTACATGTTTTTGTAACGTTTTGAATTACAGAAAATTGTGACACACTTACACCCACTACTTGTTGTGCATGTTGATCTAGGTTCCATTCTAATCTTCATTGCATCAACACCTGCATCAACATTAATTACGTCAATCTCTTCTCTGACCATAGTTTCACATCTTTCTATACCATCCTTTTTACCAGTACCAACTGCAGCGGCAACTCTGAGCCGCCCTTAAGCATCATTACATGAATTAGGGTATCTATTGTATTTCTTAATATCTTTAACTGTGATCAAATCTATAGAGTAGGTGTTTTCATCTATGACCAAAAGCTTTTCTATTCTATTCTCATGCAATAGTTTCATTGCTGAAGCGCTCCCGTATTGTAACTAACTTCTCTTTTGTCATTACCTCGGGGACTTTTATACTTTTTTCTGATTTTTTTAACCATCAATAAACCTTATATCTCTGTTACTTAAAACTCTGACTAACTTGCATTGATCAACCACAGGAATACCAGAAGCTTTTTCAATAATGAAATTGCTTCTGCAACTGTTTTATCAGGGGAACAACACAGTCTGAAGTAGAGGAGTCAATAGTCAATTGCTTATGTAATCCACTGACTTTTTTTGCTGCTTTCTTTTTGTACTCATGTATGAGAGACACATTGCTTTGGTCGGTGTGGCTCAGTCGGTAGAGCATCAGCTTGTGGTACTGAGTGCGGCTAGTTCGGCTCTGCTCACTCTCTCCAGAAAGATCGTTCCCTGCCTTATGATGAGTACTAAATTAGTGTGCAATTACACAGCCAGCAAAGGCTCCTTGAATAATCCGAGTGGGTGTGGCTCAGTTGGTAGGGCATCAGCTTGTGGCATTGAGTGCGGCTAGCTCGGCTCTGCTCGCTGCCCTCACTTAAAATCTCCTCTGCATTATTATGAGTCTTTAATCAGCCAGCAAAAACTCACTCCCCAAACCATCTAAGTGGGTATGTGCGCCTAGTTCGGTTCTGGTCGCTCTCCCAAATGAAATCTCCCTTGCAAAATGATGAGTAGTCCTAAACACAGCAAAAACTCTCTAAATCATCTGAAAATTCCAATAAACGATTGTCAGACATGTTATGTTCGTTCAACCTATTGTCTTCATCAGATGTACCTCAACTTCTTGACTAAATTTAACGAAGTTGGTAAGGAATATAGCATTATCGTCAATAAACGCATAGGGCAGTTTATATATCTATTGTCTCTTTATTTAAAAGAAGCTTTTTTTGCCATCTTCATCTTCTATACCAAGCTTTTAGTTATTTTGTATATTTAATGCTCAGAAGTAAAATCTATTACTCCTTTAGAATCTAATTCTTCTTTTTGCTTTCGGATAACTGATAGAATATTAAATCTTCAGTAAAGTCAGAAGCAGACGATACACCAATTAGTGTTGCAATTCTTTCTGAAAGTTGGAGAGCAGTGAGCAACATCAGGCGCCGTCTCATGCTTGAACCTATAATTATTTGCTTGCCGTTACGAGTTACTCTAACACAATTTTTTTGCCAATCACTCATCGTGTAATCAGTGTAATCAGCACCTGAATAACCAATAACCATGACCAAAGTAATCAAATAACACAAATGCTATATGAGTTTCTTGACAAAATTTTTAAATAGCAGCTGTTCTAGTTCCGTTCATATTGAATGAAAATCCACCGAAAAAGACTATGGAAGCTTTTTTTTTTTTCCTTTGTAGCTCACAATGTGCTATGTACTCACTGTTTTCATCAAGCAAAATAATGCTGTAATCCATGTTATTTTGGTATAGCAACCTGACTATCGTTTACTTGACACTTAAGTAACTGATCAGATCTGCAATTTCCTGCGGACTCTTGGAAATTATAAAATTTTGACCAAAATCAATTTTTAGATTTGAAATAATGCTTAAGCCTAAGCCTAAGTACACCCTAAGCCTAAGCCTAAGCATTTTTTTATTATTTAAAATGTCAAATGACCGCGATGTATGTGACCAGTACTATTCAACGCTTATAAATTAATTAAGTTCAAAATATCTATTTTTTTTATGTTTTGATATTTCTTAATTTTTCAACATTTAATTAAGATTAAATTTGATAATAGTAGGGTTTATTTTCCAGTTTATTATGCAAAAATTCTTACAAATTATAGGATTTTCATATAAATCAATTTTAAATTTAAATTAAAAATTAGCATTAATTGTAAAAATGAATTACATCTATGACTAATTAAAAATTTTATTATTTTCACGAGTGAAATTTTAATTCAAAACTCAATTCTTAAAGTTTATTTAATTATTTATGCTGATCAAATGACCACAATGTATGTGACCAGTACCTGTGCAATGCAAACAAATTAATCAATTAAGTTCAAATTATCTAATTTTTTAAATGATTCGATTTTTTTTTAATATTTCAACATTTAATTAAAATGATTCTTTGATATTGCTAGAATTTATTTTATAGTTTAATATACAAAATCCTAACAAATTATTGAATTTTCATAAAATTTGAAATAAGAATTGATTTCAATTGTAAGAATGAATCAAAACCGTGATAAATTAAAAATTTCAGTTTATTTTGCCTATCAAATATTAATTAAAACTTAATTTTTAAAGTTTATTTTATTATTAATGTTTGTCAAATGACCACACCGTAAATAACTAGTACTATGGAACGCTTATAAATTAATCAGTTAAGCTCAAATTATCTATTTTTTTTTTTTAAACAATTGATATTTATAATATTTTAACATTTAATTAAAATAAATTTTGACAACACAGGGATTCATTTTACTTTTTAATATACAAAACTCTAATAAATCATTAAATTTTCAGAGAATTTGATATTTAAATTTGAAATAAAAATTAATTTGAATTGTAAGGATGAATTAAAACCGTGATAAATTAAAAATTTAATCAATTTCGCTAGTCGAATATTGATTGAAACTTAATTTTTAAAGTTTATTTAGTTATTTATGCTGATCAAATGAGCAACCGTAGATGACCAGTACCTGTGCAATGCATACAAATTAATCAATTAAGCTCAAAATATCTAACTTTTTTTAATGAATAATATATTTTTTAACAGTTTTAACATTTAATTAAAGTAAAATTTGATATTACTAGAAATTATAGAAAAAAGTCTAATATACAAAAAAGGTTTTGATTCATTGCAAATCATAAAACTTTCATAAAATTCTATCTTAAGCTTTCAAACAAAAATTAATTTTAGCTGCAGAAATGAATTAAATCTACGACAAATTAAAAATTTTATTAATTTTGCTTCTCAAATATTAAAAAAAGCTTAGTTATTGAAATTTATGTTGTCAATTGACCACACCGTAACTGACCGTTATCCATGCAATGCATAAATTTAATCAATTGACTTCAAAATAACTATTTTTTTTTAATGAATTGATATTTCTTAATAGTTTTAACATTTAATTAAAATCAAAATTGATAAAACTAGAAATTATTTCCTCGTTTAATATACAAAAACTCTTGGAAATTAAAAAAATTTTCACCATAATCAATTTTTAGATTTGAAAAAATGCTTAAGCCTAAGCCTAAGCATTATTTTATTATTTAAAATGTCAAATGACCACAATGTATGTGACCAGTTCCCGCACTATGCGTATATAATAATCATTTTTTTTTTTTTTTTTTATTAAATGATATTTTTTAATACTTTAACATCCTTTGAAATTAAATTTTGATAATAGTAGGACTTCTTACCTAATTTAATATGCAAATACCCGTACAAATTATGGGATTTTTATAAATGTATTATTTAAATTTGAAACATAAATTAATTTTAATTGTAAGAATGAAATAAAATCGTGAAAAATTAAAAATTTAATTAATTTTGCTAATAAAATATTGATTGAAACTTAATTTCTAAAGTTTATTTTATTATATTTGCTGGTCAAATGACCATGGTGTGTGTGACCAGTATCCATGCAATGCATATAAATTAATCAATTAAGTTCAAAATATCTATTTGTTTTAAGGAATTGAAATTTTTCAATATTTTATCATTTAATTAAAGTAAATTTTTGGTATTATTAGAATTTATTTTATAGTTTAACATGCAAAATTCTAATAAATTATTGTTTTTTCATAAAATTTAAATTTTAAATAAAGATTAATTGTAATTGTGAGAATGAATTAAAACCGTCAAAAATTAAAAATTTAAATAATTTTGCTAATCAAATATTGATTAAAACTTAATTATTAAAGTTTATTTTAATATTTATGCTAGTCAATTGACCACAATGTATGCGACCAGTATCTATGCAATGCACACAAATTAATCAATTAAGTTCAGAATAACCATTTTTTTTTTAATGAATTGATATTTTAAATAATTTAACATTTAATCAAAATTAGTTTTTGATATTGCTGGAATTTATTTTGTAGAATGATATGCAAAATTCTAGTAAATTAATGAATTTTCATAAAATTTAAATTTTAAATTACAAAATTAAAATTAATTATAGTTGTGAGAATAAATTAAAGCCGTCATTAATTAAAAATTTAATTAATTTTGCTAATAAAAAATTGATTAAAGCTTAATTATTAAAGTTTATTTTATTATTTATGTTGCCAATTGACCACACCATAAATGACCAGTACCCATGCAACGCTTATAAATTAATCAATTAAGCTCAAAATATCTAACTTTCTTTACGAATTGATATTTTTTAATAGTTTTAACATTTTAATTAAATTGAAATTTGACAACACCGGCATTTATTTCATAGTTTAATATGCAAAAACTTTTACAAATTGCACAATTTTCTTTAATTATGGTATTTAAATTTGGAAAATAAATTAATTGTAATTGTAAGAATGAAATAAAACCGTGACAAACAAAGAATTTAATTAATTTTGCTAATAAAATATTGATTAAAAGTTATTTTTTAAAGTTTTTTTTAATGTTTTATGCTGACCAATTGACCACACCGTGATTAACCAGTACCTATGCAACGCTTATAAATTAATCAATCAAGTTCAAATTATCTAATTTTTTTAATGATTTGATTTTTTTTTAATATTTTAACATTTAAATAAAATGAGTTTTTGATATTGCTAGAATTTATTTTATAGTTTAATATACAAAACTCTGACAAATTATTGAATTTTCATAAAATTTGATATTTAAATTTGAAATAAAAATTAATTTCAATTGTAAGAATGAATTAGAACAGTGGCAA